TTCCACCAATTTTTTTTTTTTTTTTATTTTTGTCTACTTATTTTTTTTTTTTAAATAAATAAGCCACCCGTTTTTTTCTTGTGTATTCTTAATTTAAGTTGTTTTGGTCTTGCAGTGTTTTTTCATTTTCATGCATTTAAATCTATTATTATGATTTAAAAATATTAAAATTATTTCTATTGAAAATAGAATATAAAAAAATTACATTGTATGAGTAGATAATGTGTCCCACATATGTATTTAAATGAATATGTAGGAATGCGAGTATGTATTTTAATGGGGAGAGATTTAGTGAAAAAATTATGTAGATGATAGAAGGTGTTACTTTTTGATTGAATGAATGAGAGGTGCGTTAAAGAATGAGAGGTGCGTTAAAGGGTTGTGGATGCTCTAACTTGTAGACTAGTAGGTGAACACAACATGATAGTAGTACTAAATAGTCACATGACCTTGCACACCTCAAAATATTCCAACTGCACCCATCACATGAATGTTACAATAGAAGTATAGAACTAAGTCAAACTAAAAATCTACTTTGCCTAATCAAATTTGTTTTTTTTTTTGTTTTTACAATTAATTTGTATCATCTTTCACGAGGCAATATAAAATAGATATGAGCACATGGTGATGCTCATACTATAATGGATATACATAAAAAAAGTTAATGATGCTTATAGTAAACTCTATATTTAAATCTATTGGTATTATATATATATATATATATATATATTTATTTTATATATACAGTAGATACTTATGTGTGTAGTTTTTTAATTATGGGCTGACCAATCTTAAATGCCTTTTTTATAAGTTGATTATAATGTAAATATGTATTCATGCATAGAAATGATGAAAATAAAATAATAATATGGTTTTAAATTTCAAATTATTAGATTATATTTTACTCTGTTATCATTTATTAATATCATACAATATAAGAAAACTAATTCTAAATGTTCAAACTTATTATAATCAATCAATGTTTATGCTTAAGAGAAGAAAAATTTCACGTTTTACTCTATGGATTATTAATTTATATTCGAATTATAAATTTATATGCATCATTTTCATCTCTTACAAAGTATCAAGAATTTGATTTTCATCCTATTTTACATGTGCATATTCTTACTTTTTGTTTTTTTGGGTTTGTCCAATAACAAGTTACGTAAACATATTAGCATCTACCAAAAAATACAAAATAATAAAAAAAAATTTACATGTTATTCCTATTTATATATTTTTTTTTTTCTAATAATCCACTCGATGAATAATTGACAGTGAAGGTGAAATTTTTGGCAAGGTTACAACTTTTGGGCGGTATCGTTATAGAATCATTCTGTCGGGGTTTGTAACTGTTAGATCAACTATCCATGAGGTTATGTGATGATTTAACGGTTACAAATCCCGATAGAATATTAGTTCCGTAACGTGACTGTACCATTTCCTATAACTTTTACACGGTATATATGCTGACTTTGAAC